GGGTTGGGACTGGATGATCTCTAAGGCCCAACTTCCAACCCAAAGTGTTCTCTGACACCCCCTCTCATAGCAGCACCCGAGCAGAGGGCTTGGGGGCACGGGGCTGCCCAGGCACCACCACCACCCCCCACCTCAGCTGTGGGACTGACCCTGCAGAAGCTGCTCCCTGGGGTCACTCTGGTCCGTGACCGTGCCCCGCGGGGTGAACGGCCACCGGCTGAAGGTCACAGCAGCCAGCCTGCAGGGGATGGCACGACAGAGCCTGGCTGTGGTTTGGGGTCATCCCCAGTCCCTCAGGTGCACAGAGCAGGGCCAGGCATTGTGGCACAGCCCCTCCCGGGCTGGGCTCTGGGCACACCCAGCTCAAAGCCCTGGGTGGATGAGGAAGCCAAGCCCGGCCAGCCCGCAGGGACCTGTTGGGTCAGGGCTCTGCCTCCACCTGCCTCTCTGCCACTGGCCACACGTGAGCTCACCTCTCCAGCTCTCCTCCATCCCCAGGCTGAACTTTTGCTCACAGAGCCTCCAAACCAGCCCAGACCCAGTGGGACAGCCACAGAGGTGGCGTGTGGCAGCACCCTGGCCCTGGCACAGCTCACCCTGCCCCACGCAGGACAACCCACTCCAGCACAACTGAACAGGAACAGGGCAGTGAACACAGATCCATCCTCCCTCTGGCACCAGTGGCTCCTGCTCCTCCCCACGCTGCAGGCCCCTCTGTGCTCCCAGCTGGAGGGGTGGTGTAGCTCAGAGTGGGTTCTGCTTCCCCATGTACCCCCAGCTCCCTTCATCTCACACCACGGTGGGTGTGGAAGAGTGGAAGGGAAGGAGCTGGGCTCTCCTGGAGCTTCCATCCTGCAGCAGGACCTGTTGGGGGGGCACAGCAGGGGAACAGCCAGCTCAGCTCAGCTCCCAGCACCCATCTCCAGAATCTCACCACTCTGCAGTGATGCCCCAAGAAAAAAAGGGACAGCTCCAGGGCACAACTCCCTGCTGGAGCCACCAGGCACCCTGCCCCCAGGGCAGACACAATCCTGACCTTCAAAGAAGTGGCAGCTTTGCTGGGAACATACCAGGAGCACAACGTAACAAACTTCCAGGACAGCACATTCCCCACAGGCAGCCACGGCAGGTTTATTGAACTGGGGGTTTATTGATTTTTTTTTGGCCTTTTTTCTTTTTTTTTTTTTTCTTTTTTCCCCCCCCTCCCCCTCTCCTACTTTAGAAACTTTTAATTCTCTGTCTCCCCTCCAAGGAACTGTCCTGGTATTGCAACGTGCAAACAGCAGTTGCTGTGAGCTTAGTCAGGCAAATGCCAGAGCCCAAGGAGCTGATGATTTTTATCTCCCTCTCTCAGAAATGCAATTCCTCCTGTCAGCCTTAGGCACGTTTGCAGATATCTCACCCCCTCCTCTTTCCTCCCTCCCAGCACTTTCCCTTCCCTGGGTGAGGAGTGGTGAGTTTGCCATCAGCCCTGGGACTTGGTTGGGCCCCACGGCTGGGGCAGCAGAAGATCCTCAGCTGGTTTCTGTGACACAACTACACTGTGAAGTGGCTGCCCTCAGGAAAGGCAGGAACAGACCCTGCTAGAAACCATCTGTATCTTTGCCAGCATCTTCTGAAGGCCACTGAACAGAGGAGCACCACATCTCAGGTGACAGGTAGGCACCAGGGCACTCGTGGGGCTGGACTGGAGCAGCCCCAGGGATATGGAATCATGGAGCCATGGAATCATTTAGGTTGGAAGAGACCTTTAAGATCAAGTCAAACCGTTAACCCAACACTGCCCAGTCAATCACTAAACTACATCCCTCACACCACATCTCCAGGGCTTGGAAACCCCTCCAGGGATGGGGACTCCACCCCTGCCCTGGGCAGCCTGGCACAGCCCTGGGCAACCCTCAAGGGCAATAAGTTTCTCCTAATGTCCAACCTAAACCTCCCCTGGTGCAACTTGAGGCCATTTCCTCTTGTCCTGTCCCTTGTTCCTTGGCAGAAGAGACACAGTGGAAGTCACAGAGATCACAGAGGCCAAGTGATTCCTCTACCAAGGTCACCAAGCAACACACAGCAGAGCTGGGAGCAGAAGGAGAAGACACAAGCTGTGGTTTCGTGCCCATCCCACCATGTCCCATCCCCAGAGCTCACCGAGGCTGTGGCAGTTGCCTTGGCCCAGCATGGTGCAGTCAATGGCTGGTACCTGTTCCCTCACGTGGGTGTGTCCCCTGCTGCCAGGCCCAGGGGCACACACGACCTCCTGGCAGGGGGTTTGGGGTCTGGGGCAGTTCTTGCTGCCAGCAGGGACCTTACAGGGACTCTTACAGGCCAGGGCTTCGCTGGCAGTGGGCAGATTCAGGCTGGGTGTGAGGAAGAAGTTCTTCCCCAGGAGAGTGGTGAGACCCTGGGATGGGTTGCCCAGGGAGGGGGTTGAGGCCCCATCCCTGGGGGTCTTTAAGGCCAGGCTGGAGGAGGCTCTGGGCAGCCTGATCTAGTGGGAGGTGTCCCTGCTCATGGCAGAGGGGTTGGAACTGGGGGATCCTTGTGGTCCCTTCCAGCCCTGACAGATTCTGATCTGTTTTAGCAGAGGACTTTAGAGCCCTAATGGCTCAATGGTTGGACTTGATGATCTTGAAGGTCCCTTCCAACCTAAAGGATTCTATGATTCCCCTCTGAAGCTGTGCCTGGAAACACACCATCCCCCTGACAGCTCTGCAAGGGGAACCACTCTCTGGCCAGATCCACTGGTCAGAGTCATGGAGGAACAACAACCAGTTCCCAGCCCCACGGGCATTTGCAGCACAACTCAGCCCCAGCGTGTGTTCCCATCACCAGCCTGACGTGCAGGTAGCACCCCCCAGACACCCAAAGGCTGCCCCGAGGGCCCCCCCACCC